AGAAGTCCATTACTTGTGGACATATCTGATTGTTATCGTAGAATGTGGTCCTAGAAATAGTTACTATATTTAAAAAATAAGAGCACTTTAGGATTCTCAGTAGTAATTCCAAATGACTTTCTGAGCTGTCCAGCTAATTCACACTTTCCAACATAGAAAACCATAGAGGGGCACCTGCTAGTTCAGTCAGTAGAGCATGCAACTCTTGATTTAGGGGTTGTGAGTTCAAATCCCATGTTGGGTGTAGAGATTACTTGAAATTAAAATCTTAAAAAGATAACAACAAAACACCCTAAAGACCCAGTGTCACCACAGGATTGCCAGCATGAAATACTAATGTCAAAAAACTACTTATTTAATATGCAAATATATTTTCTAATACATTTATACTTTTTTTTAATTAAAATTTTTTTCCTACATTTTAAAACTGTCTATCTATGGTGGCTGGGTGGCTCAGTCAGTTAGGCATTGGCCTTTGGCTGAGATCATGATCCCAGAGTACTGGGAAGGAGTACCTCATGGGGCTCCTTGCTCAGCGGGGAGCCTGTTTCTCCCTCTACTCCTCCCCGCTGCTTGTGCTCTGTCTCTCTCTCTCTCTCACAAGATCTCTCTCTCTCTCTCTCTCAAATAAACAAATAAAATCTAAGAAACAAAAATCTATTTACCTATCTGACTTTTTTTTTAACTGAAGTATAGTTATACACAATGTTACATCAGTTTTGGGTGCATTTATAATTTTTTAAAAACTATATTTCTTCACTGATTTGTTCAACGAATTGTTCATTGATGCTCTTTGCTCATTTGTTTAGCAAGTGGTTTTTGTTATGTGGTGCTTTTATCTTTTTTTTATAGTTGATCATTTGCCTTTTAATTTTACTTATTTATTTATTTATTTATTTATTTTGGACAAAGAGAGATACAGCGAGAGAAGGAACACAAGCAAGGGGAATGGGAGAGGGAGAAGCAGGCTTCCCATTGAGCAGGGAGCCCTAACTGGGGCTACATCCCAGGACCTTGGGATCATGACCTGAGTGGAAGGCAGATGCTTAACAACTGAGCCACCCTGGTGCTCCTGCCTCTTAATTTTGTTAATGTGTTTTTTATAGAAAAAAAAATTAGGGGCGCCTGGGTGGCTCAGAGGGTTAAGCCTCTGCCTTCGACTCAGGTCATGATCTCAGGGTCTTGGGATCAAGCCCTGCATCAGGCTCTTTGGTCAGCAGGGAGCCTGCTTCCTCCTGTCTCTCTGTCTACTTGTGATCTCTGTCTGCCAAATAAATAGATAAAATCTTTAAAAAAAAAAAAAAGAAAGAAAAAAAATTATATGTAGTTTAGTTTGTTACATTTGCCTCTGGTGATCTTTTGCCTTTTGCTTTTGTTAAAAAGCTTTCACCTGAAATCTGCTAAATGGTAAGAATGTAACTTGACTTTCCTCCTTTCCCAATAGTTAGTCAATTTTGCTAATACCATTGATTGAATTCTTTGTTAGCCTGGGATGCTTTCTTTATCTCATATTAAGTTACTGACCACCTGGGCCTACTTAGGAGTTGTTAACTCTATTTTACAATAGTGTCATAGTTTTGAGACAGAATATTCAATCTTTCCTTCCATTTACTAGCTGTACAAACCCAGGCAAGAGTGTCTCTGAGCCTCATCTATAATTCACTCATTTGTAAGAAACTGTAAAACCTACTTTATAGAGTTATTCTGAAGAGTAAATGAAATAATATTTTAATGTTTATCATATAGTAAGCACTCAATAAATAAACTCATTATTCCATTAATATTTTTCTAGTTTTATTATTTCACTGAGATAGTATTCTAATTTAGCGGTGCAAGCGGGTTTAAATAAATCATTTTAAGAATATGTGACGTTAACAGAGCTATATCCATACTCCCAAAGAAGGTTTGCTTATATTATAATTTGTTATTGTGATCAAAGAAATCAATTAAATGATATATTTTCAGTGTAGATAACTTCACTAGGTCCTACTTATGTAGAAGTCAGTTATACAGCAAAATATTCTTTATTTTATTTTTTTAGTGTGAATACCATGTTAGATTTCCTGGAAATCTGATGACAAGTTGAAAATAATGTTGCTTTAATATTCTGTTGCTGTGGGAGGACAGAACGATTAGCATGTTAAGGAACAAAAGTGGGAAGAGATAAATATGGGGTTCGCTCTGAGCCTATAAGCAAGACTTAAGAAAAAAACATATTTCTGAAGTTTCCAGATAAGAATTCTTATCTACCCCCAGCTATCATAAAGTGAAATTTAGTTAAAATAAATTAGACTCATTCTGTTCTTTAACATGATGATATCCTATTCTATCATATTCTAAGATGTACTATTATACTGATAAGAGGATTAAAACTATGTAGAAAAAGACAATAAAGTCTTATGCACAAAATAAAACAAAAATAATAATTTAACAAATTAGAAATATCAAGTATTGGTGAGGCTGCTGGGAAAAGACCATTCTTATCTCTCTGGAGAACAATTTGGCAACATAACATTTTAAACAAGAGTTTTTTACTCAATAAATCTAAATCTATGGTTTTTTCCTAAAGATACAAACAAAGAAAAGGATAAAGATATATGTACAAAAATATTTATCATCACATTGTTTTATAAAAGCCAAGTTTTGAGAAACAAAAAGTCAAAATGTCCATCAGTAGGAAACTGGCTTCAGAAATTCACTGTGCATATGAGAAAATACTCTGTAAAAATTGTGTTTCTCTATTTGTCAGCAATGGAAAGATGGCCACATTGTTGAGTTAACATCCGAAAGCAGTGATTTATAGTATTGAGAAAGGAAACGGGAGAGGGAGAAAGAGAGAGAGAGAAAGGGAGAGATGTCTCCTGAAATGAGAGAAAGGAATGTCTCCTGAAATGTTACCAGCAGATACGTTTGGGGTGTGGAGTTTCCAGCAATTTATACTTTCTCCTTTACACTTTTCTGTATTGCTTTCATTTTTGCAATAAAATTCTATTTTGACTTGGGAAAACAAAATATACCAAAAACACTATGCGAAGAACAAAAGAGTGAAAGAAATACCCACATATTAACCATAGCTGTCTTTGGTCTTTAAGAGAGGAGACAAAGGGTTCCTTTCTACCTTTCCTCCATTTTCCATCTGTCTTTTACCAAATACAATTACTTTTAAAATGAGGAAATAATCACAGATTATACTCTGGCAGACTCACATGAGACCCATAACTTTTCCTCCTGGTTCCCAGGAAAGACTCCTCAGTAGTTTCAGTTGTTAGAGGCTACCATTATTTTTGACCTCGCCACTCAGAGTGGAGGCTCATTTGCCTTCAGCCTTAGATCTCGAGGTCACATTAGATCTCTAAGGGTCCACAAACCCCTGACACTTCGTATCAGCTGATATATGTTGGCTTCTCCAGTAGTCAACCTCTAGGCCCAAGTTTTTTGTTTTGGCCTAATTTTTTTCATTAAAAAATTAATGTACATTTAGTAGATGAGATATGGAAAGTTAAAGTCTTAAAGAAGCAGTAAAAACTATAATCTCATCATTGAAACAAATGGCTATTAATCTTTTGAACATCTTTCTCTTTAGTCATGTTTTAATATACAATTATGCATCTGTTCTTTTCCAGTCATCATTATGAGTGTTTCCCTCTATTACTGAAAACTCTTAAGTATATGTTAATGGTCCAAACCCAACTTTTAAAATGCATCCACTTATTCCTATATCGTTTGGAACTGAAGAACCTTCTCTATGCTCAAAATAAGTTTATTACGGGAGCCATGAGAAAGACTGCTTCCCATTTTAGAGCCTAGATCTTGTCCTTATCAGTAATTGCAACTCCTCCATAATCTTAATTGCAAACATCCCCTCTGACCACCCCACTCCAACAGTCTATTGCCCTTATTGGGATGAATAATCCATCAATAATATATATATATATATTTTTTAAAGATTTTATTTATTTATTTGACAGACAGAGATCACAAGTAGGCAGAGAGGCAGGCAGAGAGAGGAGGAAGCAGGCTCCCTGCTGAGCAGAGAGCCCGATGTGGGGCTCGATCCCAGGACCCTGAGACCATGACCTGAGCCGAAAGCAGAGGCCTCAACCCACTGAGCCACCCAGGCGCCCCCAATAATATTTTTTAACTGTTACTCACTGCCTTATGGCCTTACTTCCCCTCTTATCCAGACAAAATTCCATGGTCAACTATTTCTATCACTCTCTTGCATACACCCTCATCTTCCTCACCCCCCTTATTAGGTGAACCTCAATCTCGGCTGAACCCATCTCTCCATCTACTCTGCACCTCCACCCCAGCAGCCAAATATTCAAGCCCATTTTTAATGCTATCTCTACAGACATCCTGTAAGCATTTATTCTTTCTACTTTTCCCACAGATGCCCCTATTTGGTGACCACAGAGCTGCTGGTAAGTTGTCCTGCCCATCCACCCTCCACCAGTTCAACTCACGGCCTCAGCCTGTTCTTCCTCTTGGCTGCATTTCCCAGATTCTTTCCTCTTTCCAGCCTTCTGATCTCTCCCTTGACTTAGGTTTGTTCTCTCTCCCTTCTCTACCTGCCCACCTCATTCTCCAGGCCCCAAAAGAATTACAGAAGGAGAAGCTTTATGAAAATGAACTAGCAGTAGAGGTACATCTGGAGTCTTAGGTTCCTGTCCTGCTGTGTGACCTGGGGCCAGTCATTTCACACCTCTGCTGTTTAGCTTTCCCTTATACAATGAGGAGCATTCGGTTAAGTAACACAGAGATAATTCTAATCCAGCTCTTGAAACAAATAAACACGATTCTGAAAATCTAAGAAAGGAAAAATTTAGCCAATGGATCCACTACCTTACTTTCCTCACTATAGCAACCTACTTCCATTACCTGATTAAGATAATGTCAACCATCTGGTGAGTTTTATTATTGTTATTTTAGTGTTGAAATTCTCCTTGGCCCATCCAGGAGTCCCACCCAATAACCATAATGGAAATCCAAACACTCACCGTGAATTTCTCATAGAGCTCATAAGTCAGGAGGGGGTTGGGCAGCTCCCTAAAGTAGAGCTTGCAGAGTGAGCCCACACAGTGGATGTCCTGGAGGTACACTTCCCTTGTCAGATCTGGACATTGATCTGAACCAAACTCTTGCCTGAAACAACACAGACAGAGACATAACAATCTGGAGAGCATGGGCTCCTTGTCAGCAGCTGCTTGGCTGCTGATGGGTACAAAGACCCTAAACTGCTGATCTGACTCTGTTTTTGACCTTGATCAAAATGACCTTCTCTTCCCAGCACAAGGAAGCTCCGGGAAGACTTCCACTTCAGGTCTGAATCTTCCCTGTGAAAGCTGCTGTCATCAGAAAAACATAATGCCCATTTACCAATGGATTTCTCAGTGCATTATGTCCCAGTCTAAACTATGAACGGTGGGGAAATACGAACTTTTGTTGCCAAAAAAGCCTGTTCAGATTTCAGTTCTTCCAAAATATTTTTCTAAATGAACTTCTCTTTCTTGGAGGAGAGACCAAAACCAGGGTGTGTTAGATTGTTATCATTCATCTCCGTATACTCATGTCAACAAACTTGTTTTATCTGGAGACTCTGAACCCTTCTAAGCCGACTGATAGTGACTCCCACAGGATAGCCGGGAGTATAAATGTCTTCTTATGAGCAACGTATAGAGAGGTGTTTGGGAACAACATCAGGTTCCAGGCCTTGTTTCTAATTTTAAAACATTTCTTGACCAAGGTGATAGGAATACACTGCCTCAAATAATATATACATAAAAGTTAAAAACCTGTTTGAAAAGGGACAAATTGGAGCTTTCATATACAGGAGAACTTAGATTTCTTGAGAGAATTCATTTGGTCAGCCGCATTGTGACAGACTGAACGGGACTCTCGGAGCCAGCATTTTTTTTTTTTTTTAAGGTTTTAAAAAATTTATTTTTTAAAAGTTAACATGTGCATAAAAGGAAGTTGAAAAACACAAGAAGCAAAGAACAAAGTCATCCATAATCACAAGCAGTTTACAGTTTGACTTCTAGGTCCCATGTGTGTATCTACAAAAGTAAGCATTTTAATGTAATTAAGATCGTAGTTATGTATCATGCTTTTTTACACACCATGAATATTTACCATTTCAAAGTCCCCAAACTATGAGTATTTTGATAACCAAGAATACACTACACCAACTCCATCTGAAAGAAAAAAGTGTAATCCTGCCTTTCTCGGAGACAAAGATTTCAGAGAAGACAAAAATTTCAACAACAGCCCCCTGCCTGGCTTCCTGCCACCTGTTTCTGGCCCTTTAACAAAGGGTGGGGAAATCCCTGACTGCCTGAGCCCAAAAGGAGCCGGGTGGGGCTCCTTTTGGGCTCAAAGAAAACCTTGCAGCACTGTATAAATTCAGGGGCATGGGTTTTTTGTTGTTGTTTTGTTTTGTTTTATTTGTTATTGTTTTTGTTTTTAAGAGAGCAGAAGAGCAGAACAAGAACACATTTGGAGCTTACCCATTTATTTAGTCAAAATTTCCCTGCAGGGGCTAAGGTTGGTCCTTTAATGAAAAAGAATTTGGCTACTGCCCAAGAGTTCTCCCACCACACCAACTACTGTGTAGCCTCTTTCAGAGCAAAGAGTAAAATATTAAAAAAAGTATTTGCTGTTGAAACTCTAGAAAAGGTCAGGCTAGTAAATTATGGTGACATTATGTAAGTACATAGATCTGTCAAACTCGATGGTTGCACAAACCAATTAGTTTTTAACAGTCACCACTTCCCCAGGAGTAAAAAAAGGATGTCTTATTCCTTTTCCTTTTGTAGAATGTCATTACAACTGTGATGGGAGGAGGAGAGGCAGAACAAAATCAGAGGAAGAAGACAGAAGATGAATTAACCGTACAATCTATTCAATTTAATGGACTAATCTGCTAATATGAATGTTTTTACTGTTTTAAAAGTCTCCCCTTATAATTAAACATATAAATATATAAAAATAACACTTGGTAAAACACTGTAAGTATACTATATATCTACTCCCTTTATTATATATATTTAATACACATAGAGCATACACATACATATCTGTGTTTTGTGTGAAGGTTATTGTACTCTTAATTCAATGTGATAGAAATTTCTTCCCCCTAAATTTTAGAATTGTTTAGGATAAATCTGTGGAATTGGAAATAGTTCATCTACTCATAATTTTTAAAATCTCAGCCTCACTGAGAAAAATACACAGTCATGCAGATTTTTAAGTTCCTGACCGAAGGAACTAGCAAATGGTGAGTGTGCGCACCAACAGAAAAACTCGAATCATCTCCAAGTTCTTAACAGGAACCTAACTGAGCTCTGGGTAGATAAGTGAACGCTAATAGTTATGTTGTTCTAACTTGAGATTGAAATCATTTGAGTTCCACTGAATCCACCTAAGAAGGATAAACCTGGTGCAAGACAAAGAAACAGATTAGGGGCGCCTGGGTGGCTCAGTGGGTTAAAGCCTCTGTCTTCGGCTCAGGTCATGATCTCAGGGTCTTGGGATCAAGTCCCACATTGGGCTCTCTGCTCAGCGGCGAGCCTGATTCCCCCTCTCTCTCAGCCTGCTTCTCTGCCTACTTGTGATCGCTCTCTGTCAAATAAATAAAATATTTTTTAAAAAGAAACAGATTAAAAACCTCAGGAGCTTTTTTTTGTTGGAAAGAATTACATCAGAAGAGAGGATTTCCTGATTAGATTAAGAACAGTTAGGCATCTGAAAACTTAGCACTTAGTCTGCTCTGCCACGCTTCCCTCAACCCCGTCAGGTATATAATACTCCCAACCCTGGCAGACAGAGGTATGGACAGTGGAAGGATGGCAGGAGAATTCTTTCTGGGGCTATTCTTTCAGCTTACCTTAGCCTTTGTATATTTGAGGTGACTCCTGAAAGCCGATAGATTCCATCCACAATGCCGTGAGTCTCTATAAATTCTGCACAGCTCTTCAATACATATGGAACTACGTAAAGAAAAACAATAAAGCATTAGCTATAAGTCTAACTGTCCTTTAAAGAGATCCTTTAAAAAATCCAGGTAACTTCAAAGAGAAGCAAGTATGGAATGCATGTGAGTTACAAGTGGAAACAATTACTTTTCAATGGTAGATGATATTCTTTTGTGTTTAAAAAAATCATGAGGTTTTGTTAAACTTTAGAAAAGTCATATGTTTTAAAAGTTGGTTGGGTTTTTTCAAGGAATTTGAAAAATATGCAAACACTTAGATTCTGAAACCAGCAGTGACCTTGGAAATCCCACAACTCGATCTCCTCGTTTCACTGGTGCTCCAAGTGTGGTCTTCTGACTGGCAGCATCAGCATCTCCTGGGAACTTGTTGGGCGTGCAAATTCCCAGGCCCTACTCCAGACCCAGTGAATCAGAAATTCTGGAGGTGGGGCCCAGCAGTCTATGCTTTAAAAGCTTTCTAGGTGACTGTCGCATGATACAACTGTCTATATTCTACACATGAAGAAACCGAGGGTGCGGATAAATTTACTTTTGTCACTCAACATTATTTGTCGCTTATAAAAAGTAATTAACACGTGGAAAAATGCATATAAGTCGGTAAAAGAAAAACAAGGCACAAATTCGAATACACGTTGTGAATTTAGCTATGTTTAAAAAGATACAAAGGAAAAGAGACTGACGATGTCTACTAGAATGTTAAAGGTGATAATAGGTTAAAGTGTTTTTTTTAAAGGTGAGAACCACCCTCCGCCAATACCATGAATGGCTCAAAGAGCCATGGATTGAATGGACCACATAAAAGGGATCAACATGGCCTTTTGAATTCCTGCCACTCCAGAAGTTTCTACTGCCTAGGTAGAAATGTCTGGATATGCCGACCTCTCCTCAAGGCTGACCCTGATTGATCCAGGAAGATCAGTACCATAGAATAGCAGCTACAAGCATTTTGGATGGCATGGAGAGAGCAGCGAATTACTTGCCACTTTGGCCCCTGGACAGATCACCTGAGGTCCCTCCATGAGACTGCTGTGGACGGTGGTTTTTTAGGGAGCTCCCAAAGCCTTGGGCACTTGAAGTCTTCAGTTGTGGAGGTGGTGGGGTATAGGAACTCTATGAGCCAGTGCTTGGGCTAGCACTGTGCTGCCTCCCCCCAATCCATGAATGCCTTAGGCTTAGAGGAACGCCAATCCATTAATGCTTAAGGTACATGATGGTGCTTGCACACGATTCCAGGCTGAGCTGGGCTTTTATGAAAGTAAACACTGGGTATTTAGATACAACCCTCTGCCTGGAGTCCCCATTACAACATTTCCTTTCTTCCTTTTCTTTTCTTTTCTTTCTTTCTCTTTCTTTCTTTCTTTTCAACTGCCCAGTTTTATGATTAACCAGCAAAATGCAAATTGAAACTGATTATTTTTTCTATTACAACATTTTCTAAACAATTCCCCCACCATTTCATTCAACTACTAACTGTAACTTCGGACACTCAGTAAAACTCGTTATACTTCAAGTATTCCACCCATCTTTCAAAGGCCGTGCACCCTCTGGGCCATTCCCCTCCAGGACACATCCATGTTTTAGCCTGGTCTCCCATGACCGGAACCAGAGAAGAGCTTCGTAGTTATCCCAGGTGGAAAGAGGGCAGGGAATGGACTCGGGACTGGAAATATTGAGACGAGAGACCTGCATGGTAGTACCCCTCACTATGAGGGAATACGGATTGGGAGCAGAGTGTGGTGGAGGAGGGGCTGTGAGGTTAGGAAGGGGTCTGGGGCCTCTGCTTGGCTTCTACCAGAAGAGCTCTACTTTGATCTGTTTTAAGAGATAGTGTTCTTTGTGAGATTTTTGTCTCTTACCCCATGCTGCTAAATAATAAATAAATACATAAGTAGACAAACAGAGTTCCATTGCTTAAAAAAATTGTTTTGGGTTTTCTTGTTTTTGTTTTTTTTTTTTTTTAATCCCTGTCATACACAATAATGGCCAGTCCTTTCCCTATCATGCCAAGCTGTGGTTTTTGTAACCTGCCATATTTGGTCTATGATTAAGAACACAGATTTGGACATCAAACTGCCTTTGCAACCTTGAGCAAAATACATAGGTCATAACCCTGTTTCTCAGTTTCTACATCTATAAAATGAGGATAACGGTGATATTAACCTCATACCTAGGATTGAAGTAATACTGTAAACATTTAGCACAGATCCTGACATATAATAAGCATTCTACAATGACAGTTATTATTTCTATTTGAAGCCTATTTGTGATTTAAGTTCATAATTTGTGAGATGTAATCTTGGTGAAAATAATTTGTGTCCTCCCATCCCATGGGCGATTAGGGCAGAATGGACCAACCTCTTTCCAGCTGACACTCATCACTACTATGTGGAACAGCTTTTGTGTCCCTCTTTGGTTAAATATTTCTATGTGAAGTTAATTTCCCTTGTCTGAAGTCTCTTTTCTATGCATTTAGGTGTGTCTTCGTAGCACCAAGGCAGCAGGATCCAACAGTGTACAAACTGTACGTTAGAGTCCCCGGGCTGTGGTTGGCCTTGTGTCCCGCAGTGTGTCTCCATGCCGAAGCACATGGCTGTTGGGTCATGCAGGGCACAAGTGCACTTAAGAGCTCTGAGCATTCCCAAGAAGGACTCAAGACAAAAGCCCTGGACTTGAAGGACCTTTAGAAAACACTCTCCAGGAGGGGTGGTGTAGGGTCACCAACCATCCTATCCCATTCTCAGGTGGGGCCCTCCCAGGACCGCAGCTCTTAGCTATAGCACCTCAGGTCTGTTTGTTTTAAAGGTGGAGAGAACACATTCCCGAATGGAGCCTCTGTCATAAATTTACTCTGCCTTTGATACCAAGGCCCTAGAACCTTTCACCCACAGCTCTGTTTAAACTAGAGGCAATATTAAAACAACTCAGGGGAGGAGGCCATAGTCCCAGTCCCTGAGGAGTGTTAGCTTTCCTGGATTCTTATCTCAGACTGAGTTGGAAGATGTAGGGATTCTCCATCATACTCAGCAAATGGGAAAGGATCCACTTAATCTCTGTAATCATCTAGTTCTAGAGCCAGAGTCGCGGTTCTCAGACTGTGGTACCCCCGGCCAGGTGCACCTGCAGCAGCTGCCTCCAGGAGATTCTGATCTGTGCTAAGGCTGAAGAACCACTAGTCTATAAATCGGAGCTTCTCATACTTTTTAATGTGACACAGATCTCTGGGATCTTGTTAACATGTGGGTCCCAATGGGGGAAGAGTGTCAAGAATTTGCATTTTTAAGAAATTCCCAGATGATGGGAACACTGCCCACCTGAGGTACCCACTTAGGAAGCCAGGGTCTGAGGGTAATACTGATGCAGAGTGTTGCGGGGGGCCACTGGGAGTTCAGTCTCAGAGACTCAGATTTCTTTAGACCGTTGTCCCTGGGGTCCAACCAAATTGGGGACACCCTCTGATTCTGGGCAGGGTAGAAGTTTGACAGCAAGGGGCGCCTGGGTGGCTCAGTGGGTTAGGCCTCTGCCTTCAGCTCAGGTCATGATCTCAGGATCATGGGATCGAGTCCTGCATCAGACTCTCTGCTCGGCAGGGAGCCTGCTTCCTCCTCTCTCTCTCTCTGCTTGCCTATCTGCCTACTTGTGATCTCTCTCTGTCAAATAAATAAAATCTTTAAAAAAAAAAAAAAAAAGAAGTTTGACACCAAATAGCTGAATGGTGATAGATGGAAAGAAAGCTTTCACTGTCACTTTGGGCATGGGAAGGAGTGAGGCTAGCTAGAGTCCGAGAGCTACTTCTGTAGGATTTATCATGGACCCAAAGAACTTGAAGTCTCCTACAGAGATCCACGCAGATGCTGATTATGATATAATGTTATAACTTCTTTGAACTGTTTCACTGAAGGTTCTCGAAGATCCTTTTTTGTTTTGTTTCTCCTGGATCAGCAATCTCAAGTGTTACATTTTAAATCTGAGCACAAAATAAATCTTGAAGTAGTTTCTGGTGGAAAAGAAAACTCTGCCTTTGATTTATGCCTTACGGTTGACACAACATTTTAAAGTCTTTTGTCTCATTTGATCCAACCTGGTACAACTAAAAGACATTTGATACTTATACATAATATGGCGCACTTCTTTTCTCAATTCCTAACCTCTTCAAGGGCATAGTGCAGAAAAGGCCCGCAGTTAAATCATTTCTCTGAGTACTCCCAGAAGTAATGTCTGCTAAGCTGCCCTGTTTCCCTTTGTGGCCAGGATCTCATCAGATCTGGAGACAGAGATTGCAACAAGCAGTTTGGCTTGCTTACTGATGCGCTCTTGGTGGCCATAGGATTTCATAGTTCAAAGCGCATTTGGGTTTTAGGAAAACATGGTCCTCTTTCCTCTCTGTTCTGGATTTTTGTTAAGGTCTTCTACTAATCGGATTTCATCCTCTCTCTGGGTCCTGCATTCCTAATCTTGAAAGTGAAGTCTAATGGTATATACACACAGTGGAATCCTGGTCAGCCATAAAAAAAGAATGATATAGCACATGGGTGACAGAAGCCAGACTATATACATTCTGTACACTTCCGTTTATATTAGCAAGTGCACACTAATTTATAGTAGGAGAAAGCAGGGGAGAGGCAGGAGGTAGGAATTGGGAAGGGGTCAGGGAAAATTCCAGGAATGAAGGATAGTTTCATCATCTTGACTGAGGTGCTAGAAAGGACCAAGGGCCACTTGGGTGGGTGTGGAAGAATTGATACTTGCAGGAGGAAGGTAAAAGAGTGAGGGAGACAAGCCCCTGAACAGGGAAGAAATTCTCTGAGACTGCTGCTGTGCGTAGGGTAGAGAGTGAGGTCTTTAAGCAGCATTGCTATGCTGTGAATGAGAAGGCCCTATGGCATTGTTTTTCATGAGATGGAGTAAAGAATTCGTTTACTTTTCCATTATTCTTGGCTATCAACAGAGAACTTCCTAGCTCCCCTCCACCCCCGGGGAAACTAAAAGCTGTCCCAG